TGCGCTTGAATGAGTTATCTTCTTTATTCAGTTTATTAAAGTATCCAATATTCATAACTGTCTTTACTGTCAGATTGTCGGTGAAAGTATAAAGATATACATAGCAATTAATATCTGTATCCTTAATTTGGTTGACAAGGTAAATCGTGGTATCTTTTGACTTATGCTTCTTTTAAGGGAGCAAAAATGTATTTAAACTGTGTTCCTTTCTAGTTCTTTGATATGCAGCAGCGTGATGCCATTAGAGCACTTGAAATTTACCGAAGAGTTGGGCCACAGGCATGACCTAACATTTTGCTATTATTAGAGCTCATCTGATCTGTTATTGCCTTTGTTTTGGGTTCTATAGAAATTTTGTTTTGTTTAATACTTCAAAATTTCAATCCAATTATAGGCTAAGAGTCTGTTGAAGTTTTATGATTTCTGTAGAAGGTCTGATTTTGGGCGTGGCCAAAAATTTGTTAAAATCGAGCAGGTTCGGTTATTTGAATTGTTGTGTTAAGCTAATTTCGTTGAAAGTTTGTGAGATGATACTTTAGCCGTCTGTTTTGCTCATCCTTATGCAGCCTCCTGCTTCATTTGTTGTAGCAATGGAGGAGTATGTGAAGGCTCCCTCACCACAGTTATTGGGTTACAAAAATGTGGTAAGACTGTTAATTCCGTGATTTGGAATATTGATTTTTTTTTTCACGTTTTTTTTCAGTTTTTTTTTTTAATCTTTTTGCCCAACTTTCAGGTCCACGTAAAAAATGTTGTGGTTAGGACTATATTTTATGGGTATGATTGTGATAGGAAGTACTTGAGTTCGCAAGTAACACCAAGGGTAATACTTGAGTTTGCAAGCAAACCTAGCAAGATTGGGTGGAAAATAGTGAAGAAAACTGCTGTTTACAGCAGTCAAACAGCAAATAACAGCAGATTTTCTTAGGAAAACATGGAAAACTTAGAGAAACAATGAGGAAATCCACTGATAGATGAAAGAAAACAACAAATGATACAAGTTTCTTCAATTCGAGAGGAAGAAACAGCTCTCCAAATATCTAGCCAAGTCTAGAGCCCAAGAACACAAACCCTAGATCTCATATTGCTTTTCAAATTCAAGATGACTCTCATCCTAACCAAAAGGAGCATACTTAAAGCACAATACAAATATTTAATGTTGAATCTCTAAACAGCCCTCCACAATTGAATCCCCACCCCTGCCCCACCCCACCAAACCCAAGCTCCCATCAATGCATGCATTAATGCTTGGGCCCCACCCATGTGCTGCCCTCCCTTCCCATTTCAGCCCGCCTCCTATAGCAAACTGGTTGGACCGGTTCGGGTTGGGCCGTAACAGATTGTTAGGCTAATAAAGAAGTTACTAGTAGTTAAGTCAAGTATGTTGTAAATGAGAAGGTGTAGATGCATGCGTCAAAACTAAAAAATATGGATGAAGAAATGATTATATTAGAGAGGCCTGAGAGTTCCACATATTGAAGATAGTAGTAGAAGGTAGAGTATTTTAAACATATATTGATTACAAGAGGAACCAATAAGATGGGTAGATAAATAAAATTAATGCGTAAAGATTATAGTGTTTAAGGATAAAAGATAAACAACATGGATTGAATTTATCTAAAGAAATGTATACAAAATAGATTTAAAACCTCCAGGATCACTTACCAAAAATAGATAGAGAGTGGGGATTCATAATGCTGCCCCAAATAGTAAATATTACGATAATAATGATGATCCTATGAAAGCACTATATGATTACGAATTGATGTGTCACTCTTGAATTTACGTAATATTAAAAATTATTTCGGGAAGGCAAGCCTGAAGGTACGGTTACCACCATTGTAATCAGGAGGCTAATTTGAATAATGGAAATAGTCTCTCTACAATTTAGGGGTTGCGTAAATCATTACTTACCTAGACCCGCATTAGCAGGAGCCTCATGCATTAAGTGTACCCTATGAATACCATTTTATCAACATCAAGGAAGCAAGCAACTGATTACAAAGAACTCTTCATATGAACCTGGGAGGAAGTGCTGGCAAGACAATTCAAAGATGGAAATGGAAATGTAGTTACTGTAGTGCCTTGGCCGTAATATGAGAACGGAAGTTCAAATATATTTATTATAACTTAGACTATTTTGCCCCAACCTGATCGTATCAAGTATGACTCGAATAAAAGTATAAATTAATTAAATTAAATGAATTAAATCATGTACTTTATATATATATATATATGAGTGGAATATGTTTCATTGGGAGAATAAAGCTTTCCGTTTTCTATCATCTATTCTTCACCATTAATATCAGAAAAAGGAAGAAATCAATTATTTCAAAACTAATTTGGAGGACTCAATGTCATCGCCTTTTTCTACCTTTACCTTTGGTTACTTTATAACTACACAAATCAACCATCAGCATACTTTTCAGTGTCTATCATCCAAACGGATTCTTAGTATAAGTTTTAAATATATATTTGGTTGACTTGCATGTAATTTCCATAATGCAGTATATATTTTTCTAGATCACTGAATTTTTGTGCTTCACTACATGAGTCATAACCATTTTCTTTCTGTTAGGTTGACAAAAGTTGGTCATGGAACATAAGAAAGTAGACTTTCATGACAAAAATCCACGATAGCCTACAACACAACCAATTAAGCTAACTCACGTGGTACCGATCTACTTGTAGTTGAATTTTCCCAGTCTCCTATTCTAATACCAAATTCAATTAATGATCTCTTGGTATGATCATTCTATCAAAATATATGAAAACCCCTCATAAATTATATCTAAACTTTAAAATGAGACGCCTTAGGGTGTAATGGTCCTCTTGTTGGGACAAAATACTATATTATCAACTTGGTGAATAATTTTGAGCTATGCATAAAAATATTGATAAGAGTATCAATTACTTAAGTGAGGGAGATTATGAATCCTCTTGAAGTTAAATAAAATTGAACTGTTAAACATTAAGGCATCTTTGATATAAAGTTTGAAATCTCATTAGAAACTATGAATTTAATTGTATTCGTATGGGAGCAGTAGTATAACAATATTCGGAAAACTTTAGGATAAATTAATTAAAGTAATCATTTACTTTATAGATAGTAATATAATTATCTATTTATATTTCAAAATGGTTCCAATAAAATAAGAAATCTTGTAAAAAATATTATTTTTATAGAACAAGAAGTCTTTATCCCACTATGTACAAAAAAAGTCATTTCCATGATGTAAAAAAATTGGGGAAGAAAAGTTTAATTTTTTTCTCCCACATTTTTATATTTTTTGGATATTACTCTCTCTCTCTCTCTCTTACTCTGTCAATATATTGATATTCAAGAATAAAAATATAAGTAGCATATGTTTCATTTGGCAAATAAAGCTTTCCATTTTCTATCATCTATTCTTCTCCATTTATATTATTAAAAGAGGAAACCAACTGTTTCAAACTTAATTTGGATGGATCAATGTCATTGTTTTTTTCTGCTATTTACCTTTGATTACTTTATAACTACACTAATCAACCAGCAACATGCTTTCAGTGTTTATCATCCAAGTAGATTCTTAGTACAAGTTTCAAAAATATTTGGTTTACTCGCATATAATTTCCATAATGCAGGATACTTTTTTCTATATTACTGAATTTTTGTTCTTCACTGTATGAGTTATAATTGTTTGCTTTCCTTCAGTTTGAACCTAACAAAAGAATAGCTGGCCCTATGCCAAAGTTGGCCTGTGAACATAAGAAAGTAGACCTTCATGACAAAATTCAACGACAGCCTACAACAGCACCAATCCAGCTAACTCACTTGGTACCTAATCTACTTGTAGCTGAATATGCCCAATCTCTTGTTCCAATTCCAGATCCAGTTAATGATCTCCTGGTATGATCATTCTATCAAAATTTGTGAAAACCCTTCATAAGTTATATCTGAACCTTAAAATTTTAGGACTCCTTTGGGTGTAACGGTTCTCTTGTTGGGAAAAAGTATTGTATTATCTACTTGGTGAATAATTTTGGGCTATATATAAGGATATTGATAAGAGCATCAATTACTCAAGGGAGATTGTCAAACATCTTAACGTTGAATAAAGTTGAACTGTTAAACATAAATGTATCTTTTGATATAAAACTTGAAATTTCATTCATGAATTTAATTATCTTAGGATGAGTGACAACCTGATAAATTACTACACCAATAAAACAAAACTGTCAGGCCATTAGGCTAAAGAAGATAATATCTCGATGGTTGAGAGTTTGAACGAACTGTTAGATAAGCTCTAATGTTGAAGTTATGTGTGTAGCTTTATTTTTGTTTATTTTTTCGTTATAGTATTGTTTACAGCACTTGGACGATTTTCACGACGGCACAGCTAATTTGGAAGAGAGAAATTCTTCAATCTTCGCTATAGTTTCCGACGGTAATTTCATCTATTATTGTCAACTTTTCCATCGCATGGATCTAAACAAGTTGTACCTTTTATACTCTCAATTTCTCATCAACAGATAATCGGATGAATAGTGTAAATTCTTCTGATCGTTCTGGTGGATCAACAGAATGGGAACTTGCTCTAATGACAGCTTCCAGTTCAAATACTGCATTGGTTACTTGCCTCTAACTGAATCATGTTTCTCTTCTCATGTCGAATTAGTTTAGACTTAATCTAATCTTCTTTGCTATTATTTAGGTGGCTCCCTTCAACAAACTAAAGCTTGAAAGCCTGTATGCCGATCAAATTTCAAGAACAACAAACCAAAATTCAAGTTATCCAAATCCGTTCGAGTCAGATCAGTACACCCATGACCCATTTTATGCTTCAGGTGGCATCGATCTGCCGGCCAATTTGCAGAACCAAGCAATGGGGCTTGAAAACAATCCATTTGGACCAACTGGTGTTTCATCTTTTCCTGCCCAAGATCCATATACAGGTTTGATGTAATTTTTTTTTCCAATTTTTGTTCAAATTCAAAGATGTACATAACTAGACAGAAAGTTATTGAGATTTCATTCAGTTCTCTCCAAATTTAATTGAATATTTGCCATAGTCAGATGGCTCATTGAGTGTAGGTGAAATACATGTGGTGTTTTGCTTTATTTGGGATAGGTTTGCTTTTCATACTAAGCCATAAGTTTATGTGATCATTATTTTTTTATTGCTTTCAATAAATTTTTATATTATGAAGCTTTTTTTACCACAACTTGTTAAAAAAATGATTTTGTTCACAATGATTTTACAATCAACTTTATAAAAAGTTGTAGTTGTCCCAAACATATTCTTACGGTTCGTTTGCAATAACTTTCTTACTGCTTTTAAAATCAACTTTTTAGTATAAAAATTTTAATTTATGTACAAACAATGATAGATGAAGGTAGACTCACAAGGATAACTCTTATTAGGATTTTATATATGTTGTCATCTAAAAGTACACAATCATCATCTTGATTCTCTTTTATCACAAAAAAAAAAATATTGAGATATTATACTATAATTAGTGACTAAAATTAATATATTACGAAAAAATATAATAATCTTAACTTTATATACAAATTAAATGGTATATTAATCGTATTAAAGCAAATTCTAATAAGACTAGAGTGATAGCATTAGGCAATGGTAAGTTTTAGGGGAAGAGAGTTGGAGAAGATATAATATGAAAAAATATATTTATAAATTAAATCTTATGCATGGCAAATCCATCAAAGTCTATAAATTTATTTGACAAAGGCGCTATTAAAATTAATAAAATTTTAATTTTTGATAAAAGAAGAAAAAATACATCTTATTTTAGTTGTGGTGACACTCATGCATTACAAACTACTTTTGGAACTCCTCTCTCTCTCTCTCTCTCTCTCATTTGAGAAAATATATATAATTTGAGAAAATATATTAAAAAGTTTTTAAAAGATATTTTATAATTTTCTTCTTTATTTTTAAAAAAATCAACAATAAAATAAAAAAGAAAAGAAAAACCTACTCATCTTAATTTGTTAGTTGAAGCAAATGTTAGATTTGAAACTTGCGTAAGTGATGTGTGTGTGAATAAAATTGGATATAAAAAATAGCTCACTAATGTTTGTAGCATATGTTACAAAATAAGCATCCCTTAATTCAAATAGTCAAATCATAACATTTTGTCTCGAAGTAAGTGAGCATTGGTAGTGCTCATAAGCTTGGGTTGAATCCCTCCTTCCACTCTTTGGGAGTTGCAAAAATTAAATGTTAAATAGCATGGAATTTCAAAGATGGAGTTTTGAAGATAATTAGGGTTGAATAATGCAAGGTTGTTTATTAGCAGAATAAGCCCATATTTGCCTATTACTTACTGCTATACCCATATTTGCCTATTTAATGTTCCCTGTACACTTCTTCATTAATATAGAATTACATTTTCTTTCTCTCGGCTATCTTCCTCTCCGTCTCTGCTCGCTCTTCTTCCAGCCTCTCTTGGCTGCTCTTTCATGGTATCAAGAGCCTCCAATGGTGGATCAAGAATCTGCTACCTCCCTCCCTCCCTCATATTCTATTCTCGCCGGAGCCACCAGCTCTGAGGTCATCATTTCGGCACCTCTAAAATTACTCATCTCCAACATCAAGAATCTCATACCTCGCCTCTCACCACCAAAAATTATGCAATCTAGAGAATTCAAATTCTCCAACAGTTTTCCGCAAACGACTATGCATGACATCTCTCGGGCACCACTCCTCCGCCATCCGATGATAAATCACCAGCTCACGCCGGCTGGATGCTCGTCGACAACAACTTGATTTCAGCACTCTTTTCCACGATCTCGCATTATATACTTCCTTACGTAATCACCAACACCACCGCCCAAGAAGTGTGGACGACTCTTGAACGCCGCTTGTAGCCATCAAGTCGTTCTCGAGTTATCCAACTCAAGAATGAAGTACATCATATACAAATGAAGAACCTATCTATGCAGCAATATCTATCGCAAATAAAGAACTTCGTGGACAACATTGCAGCATCCGGTTCCAAAATCGATCCTGAGGATATAGTTCTTTACATCCTCAACGGTCTCCCATCCACCTACAATTCCTTCAAGACCTCGTTTTGGACATCCCCTCTTCCCACAGATTTGGACACACTGTACTCGCTCCTCTGCAACGAAGAAATTCATGTAAATCAAGAAACTCTTAAAGATCAGTTTATCGATCTGTCCGCCTCTGCCCTCTATGCCACGTCGTACAATCAACTATGTGGCCGAACTCAAAAACGTCCTCCTAAGAACAAGAACAATCCCTCAATCCATCCTTCTCCGAGTCATCCACCTCTGAATTCCTCCAACTCCGGTAATAAGCGGCCGACTTGCCAAATCTATGGTAAAATCGGTCACATAGCTATCAACTATTGGCATCGTTGCAATTTCAAGTACACGCCAACCACTAACTATGGACCATGGGCAATGCTAGCGCAACCGACAACCTTCCCAACCCAAGATTGGATACTCAACACTGGTGCCTCCACCCATCTCACACCGGATAGCACAAACATTCAACACTCATCTGCCTACCAAGGTCAAGACTCTGTCTCTGTCGCCAACGACTCCTCCTTACCCATTCAGAACTCTGTGCATGGTTTTCTTCCGCTACCGGACACCCCTTGTAAGCTTCGTCTATGCAATCTTTTACACGTCCCTTCACTCACACACAATTTGCTCTTTGTATTGAAATTTATGTCCGACAATTCTATTTCTATTACGTTTGATGCTAATGATTTTGAAATGAAGGATTCTCAGGATCATCGTCCGCTTCTACGTGGCTGTCTTAGTAACGGATTGTACCATATAAGTACGACACCAGATGTCCAACCCACAGCTCTACACGCAAGCACGAACTCATCTCAACTTTGGCACGCTCGCCTCAGACATCCGAACAACCGGCTCCTTGCCACTCTTGCAAATAACATTACTGCTTTTACAAATTCATCTTTATCATTATTGTGAAAATCTTGTAATGTGCCCAAGAGTCACAAGCTCTCCTTTAATAAAAGAAGCTTGATCACTTCCTCACCATTCAAACTCATACACTCGGACGTCTAGGGACCGGCACCGAACCAATCTTGTAATGTGGCCAAGCAGTAATAGCTTGGAGGCTTTAGGGGCTGTTTGGTATCGAATTTATTCCCGGATTTAATTCGGATTTATGCTAAATCCAGCCAAATGGTTTTTGTGTGCTCGTTAAATCCCGGGATTCCGTAAATCCCGGATTTAGGGATTTACGGCTTAAATCCCGGATTTACAAAATCCCTTTGTTCGGCGGATTTAACGGGATTTAGCAGAAGAAGCGCGCGAAAGGGAGAAAGTTACCTTCACAGCTAGCGAGGTCCTGTTCTTGCTTCCGATCAAAATGTCAAAATTTTCGATCCGACAGGAAGGGAAAGACGTCAAAGGAGCGAAGTTGAACAGTCACGAAGGAAATGAAGAAGCGATGCATGCAATCTCTACACCTCCTACGAAGCAATGAAGCCTAACATCAACGACTAAGGGTGCATTTGGGACGGATTTTTCCCTACTGTGCGGCACGAAATGTAACCCAGAGGTGGTTTGGTGTTACGCGGTCATGCTCTGGTCTGAAAATTTCTGCCTCCCGCGGTTGCTTTCTACGTCCGGAGGAAGCCTCCTGCGTTTGGGAAAATTATTGGGTCAGGTGATCGAACGCAGAGATGGGTCCGGATATTAATAAAATATTATTTTAAAATTAGAGCAACTAAAGCGCAACCAAAGCGCAACCAAAGCGCAACTAAAGCGCAAGTCAAAAAGCGCAACCAAAGCGCAACTAAAGCGCAACCAAAGCGCAAGTCAAAAAGCTCAACTAAAGCGCAAGCTGACGCGGCAAATTTTTATTGGATGTCCGAACTTATTTTTCGCCTCTGATCACCTGACCCAATAATTTGCCCCTGCGTTTGGATGCTTCCCGCTGTTCGTAGGTATGAGAAATACATGAATGCCTTTACATTTATCAGCGAAATATCCGTTGTCTTCTTTGCAAAGTTCCGCTATATCAGATCACTTCATACATTTCTTCGCTCGTTCCGCCTCATCTTACCACGCTCGGGAACTCAGTTGTCAGCTACATCGGACTCGCTCACCATTTCAGTTTAGGTATTTCCCCAAATTCGCAGCTGCAACAACTCCGGCTCAGCATTTCAGAATCTCGCTACTTCGCTAGTAATCTCGCTACAGCAAATCAACAAGCTTGCAGTAATCAAATCAACAAGCTTGCAGTAATCTTCAGAGGTAAAACTCTCTCCCCTTGGCTGTGTTTCTCAAAAAAAAATTAGGTTTTCGTTTCATTTACACAATCGAGCATCGGCTTTCGTTTATTGTGCTTTCGTTGTGATGTAATAGCAGTTTGCAGGATATATTGAGATTACTTTTCCAATTTGTTATTGCTTAGCGTCAGATACCTTTTCTTCTTTTATCTAGCAATTTGTGTTGTTTGGCAGGTAAGTGTATTTATTTTCTAATTATTTCTTTGAAAAAAAAAGCACTGGATCAGACGCATCAGATTTGTATGTATTGATCTACAACTGTGAAGCTTTTATGTGAGAAACCCAAACTTTAATGTCATACCATGCTCAGGCACATGTTAATTAATGAATAATTTGTACTTAATATGTTATTAAATTTATAACATATTAATTTTTATTTTTAATTATAAATTTATTTTTTAATTTATAATTATATTCTTCACATTTAAATCCCTAAATGTCATAAATCCTGAAATATGTTACCAAACAGTTTCTAAGGATTTAACAATATTTAACATTTGACATACCAAACAATTTTTATGATTTAATACATTTCGAATTTATTAAATCCGAATTTACAGGATTTATTAAATCCAACTAAAGTTAAATCCCACTTTTGCCAAACAACCCCTTAGGGTTATTTTTTTGGGATTTTTACATACATACAACTTTATTTGTTTCATATTATATATTTAACACATAATTCTTAAGTATTACATTAATACCACCTAAATACTATTCTCATAACAAAAGTACCACTCCGTGAAATGCTTCCTCACTCCGTCCGAATTCGTTAGGAATGCCCTAGCCAGCGAACCCTTTCATCCTCCTCCCCGCGAGCTGTCGCCAGGTGTTTTCTTTCGCGTTGATCTTCCCTCCGGTCATCTTCCTCGCAGATCTTCCCTCCGGGCATCTTCCTCACAGATCTTCCCTCCGAGCAACTTCCTCGCCGATCTTCCTCCGGGCATCTTCCTTATCGATCTTCCTCCGGGCATCTTCCTTATCGATCTTCCTCCGGGCATCTTCCTCACAGGTCCAAAACGTCCAGATTTTAAATATCTCAAAATTACATCTCACAGGAAAAGGGATCTCCAGTTAGCACAAATAGTTGAAATGTTGGAGCTTTCGGTGTGCAGTGTTGCTGTGCATTTTCCAATTTGGTCTGTCCAATTTTTTGCTGCATAACTAAGACACTTTTCCCTCCACTCTGGTATTTTTAAATCTCAAACCACCATCGTTCTAAGAAATGGACCCATCTATTATTTGCTCAAAATTCTCATTCCCCATAATATGTGAGTTTGAATGATCTTCATCAACTTCGTACAATGAGATAACTATTTTGGCACGTGAATTTTCATTCATTTGGTTTACCAACAGGCTCACGTCATCACATAATTAATTACTTTGTACTCCTTGGGTGATGTTCCATTAATGTGATAATGCATGTTGTATTGATGTCCATTCAACCAAGGACATATTCTAACAATCTCTGTTCTAATCTTAAAAATATTTATATGTCCTATCTCAAGTTTCACAATCCTTTGTTTGCCGCCAATATATCTCTTTCTAGATTGGTCCTTCGTGTCAACCCAAATTCCTCCAAATTTAAATGCAATAAACAAATGCTCTTCTTTATCTCCACATATCTATTACTTCGTCACAACATTCATGCATTGTCGAATTGTGCCACGAGGTTGTCATTTTTTATTAACTTCAAGCTGAAATAAGATGACAAAAAAATTAATCCATTAAACCATAAATATGGTAAGGAGAACATAAAATGTTTAAGGTTAAACTCATTACTTCTCTGGTTATCCGTGAAGTGATGACAAAAAAATTAATCCCATAAAAAAAACATTAAATCTCACCGGTTACCCGTGAAGAGCAGAGGCGTGAAGCACTGGTAATCCGTGAAGAGCAGAGGCGTGAAGAGCAGAGACGGGAAGAGCAGAGCTGAAGCCGGGATACATAAGGTTTCGCTGAAACATCTTGTTCTCCCGCGAAAATCACAGGCGGGAAAGAAAACGGAGTGAGGGAAGCATTTCACGGAGTGGTACTTTTGTTATGAAAATAATATGTAGGTGATATTAATGTAATATTTAAAAATTAAATATTAAATATGTAATATGAAACAAATAAAGTGGTATGCATGTAAAAATCCCTATATTTTTATCCTCCTTTTCGTCGAGCACCCGTCGCTTCTTCGGCTCCTTAGCTTTGCTGTTGGACTTCGCTCCTTGGACGACGTTCCCTTCCTGTTGGATCGGAAGCAGCGACGGGAGCTCGCTCGCCGCGCGCTTCTTCGGCCAAATCCCGTAAACCGACGAACTACAGGATTTAGTAAATCCGGGATTTATAGCAAAAAGAGGGAACGGAGGATTTATTCCGCCGTGAGATTTACGGGGCGCACAAATCCTGCATAAATCCTGTTGTCGAACAGCCCCTTCTTCTTCTCGCGCAGGGAGAAACGTCCAAAAGAACATGGAAAACGCAGGGAATGGTAATGATCCTTAGTTATCCAATCTCTTTTCCTGATATCTCCGTCCCATCCCTATTTCTGCATTAGAGTGAACCCTAATATTTTCTTACATCAGGAACACAATCGCCGGAAACCAACTTCTTATCCGACAAGTCGGCGAAGGTCTTCGTCGCTGGACACCGCGGTCTTGTCGGATCCGCCGTACTCCGCCGTCTCGTTTCCCTAGGTTTCACAAACCTCCTCGTCCGCTCGCGTAGTGAGCTTGATCTTACCCGTCAGTCTAAAGTCGAGTCCTTTTTCGCCGCCGAGGGCCCGCGCTACGTTGTCCTCTGCGCCGCCAAGGTCGGAGGCATCCACGCCAACTCCACTTTCCCCGCCGACTTCATCACCGTTAATCTCCAGATTCAGACAAACGTCATTGAAGCTGCCTATCGCTGCGGATCTGTCCGCAAGCTCCTTTTCCTCGGCTCATCCTGCATATACCCAAAGTTGGCTCCGCAGCCTATACCAGAGTCAGCGCTTCTCTCCGGTCCTCTTGAACCTACCAATGAGTGGTATGCCATCGCCAAGATCGCCGGCATTAAGATGTGTCAGGCCTACCGAATCCAATACTCCTGGGACGCCATCTCTGCAATGCCCACTAATCTATATGGACCTTATGATAACTTTCATCCCGAGAACTCTCATGTTTTGCCAGCCTTAATCCGTCGATTCCACGAGGCTAAGACCAACGGAGCGAAAGAAGTGGTGGTCTGGGGCACTGGTTCGCCACTAAGGGAATTTCTGCATGTAGATGATCTTGCCGATGCTGTGCTTTTCTTGATGGACCAGTATTCCGGACTGGATCATGTGAATGTGGGGAGTGGGAGAGAGGTGAGCATAAAAGAGCTGGCTGAGCTGGTGAAAGAGGTGGTTGGTTTCAATGGAGCTTTAGTGTGGGACACCACAAAGCCTGATGGAACACCGAGGAAGTTGATGGATAATTCTGTGCTGGCAGGGATGGGATGGAAGCCGAGGATCCCGTTGAAGGAGGGGCTTGTGGAAACTTACAGGTGGTACTCGGAGAACGTTCTGAAGCAGCAATGATGCAGTGAGATGTTAAGCTTCATCTTCATCTTTTCATTATTATCAAATTGTTATTTTTATCTGCAATTTCTTCTGTACTTTAATTGTATTGGTTGTGTTATTCATTGAGCTTCTTATGTCCAGTAGCTATCTTGCTTTTGTTCATTTTGAAGGAACTAAGAGTTATACAAGAGATTGAATAATCTATTGACAGGCAGAAGCTTCTTAATTTTCTTATTAAAGAAACTTTTCAGTTAGATGATCTTGATTATTCTTCTGTTTTAATTTGCATGTGAGAATATTTACTCAATGGTAATTAGATTTTTTAGTTTTGTTGCATAATGCCATTATTTTTTTCAGAATTTTCTTCGATGATGGTGCTGATTTTGTTAGTTTGATTTGCCCACATTAAGATAGATGGATCTGTTAACATTGAGATGACATTACGTTCTTATATTGAACTCTTGAACTCATTAAGGTTTTGTTTGGGGCGGCTTTCTTATCCGTTTCTTAAAGCAGCTTTTGAGTACAAAAAATAAATTTTTTATACTAAAAAACATCTTTAAGAAGCGGTAAAAAAGCCGCCCCCAAAACCTAAATTTGATTCAGCCTGTTGTTCATCTCCTTTGCAAGCTCTAGTTTTGATTTTGCTTGTTGCTGTCATACTATCTAAGGTGTCTTTTATCAGGATGTGTTTACTTTAACTCTGATTTGGTGGTATTTAGGTGGGCGGCTTTCTTAGCCATCCCAAACGAAGCCTTAGAGTGTTTCAAATCAAATCTCTCCTGCAGCTCATTTGAAATCTTCGGCTTCTATGGTATGAAGTCTTAAGCTTATCGATTAAGGCGCTTTCTTCACAGTTTTTTAATATAGTCCAGGAGCCGTTCACAGCTATTTAACTACTACGCTTCAATCTTACGAGAATTGTTTGTTAGCTCTGAGGATTCTAAGTTATGATGGTGGGGAGCAATTATATCCGTTATTTTTACTTATTTTTTGGCTATTTTCTATGCAAGGATGCTTCACTTTTCTATTTTGATCATATCATGCATGATATTTTTCTATAGCTGTTCTTAATTTTTTATTTTTCTATTTTGATCATTTCATGCAAGATATTTTTCTGTAGTTGATTCTTTTTTTTCCCCTTAAACTATGTATGAATATAGCCTATAGCCATCTGGAAGTAGTCTTTGAACTATGAAAAGTTCAACCATTGTTTTTTTTTTCCTTATGAAAGTTAGTCAGAGAAAAAAAAATCCATCACAAGTTCTATTGTTGTTCTATAAGTTTTTTTTTTTAAATTATTTATGTTTGATTTGTTCTTTCTGGCTGCAGTATATTGACAGATGGAAATAGTATTTGAACTATGAAAAGTTCATCCATATTTATAATTTTTTTTTTTTTGGGAATGAAAGCTACTTTGAGAAAGAATCTACCTTAATTGTCAAACCCTATTCATATAGATGTTATAAGCTTCTGTTTGAAAAATTGACACCTAATGTTACCATTACAACCAAACTACTTATCTCAGAACTTTAGTTTTATTAATTTTTGTAATGATTTTGGTGTAAAACATAAATGATTAGTGTTCAGTTCATGTTATAGATTTGGTTGTTAATGTTGTAAATTAGAAGATTTGTCTGTTAAATAAACTTTGCTAAATGTGAATTTCTGTTCTTCACTGCATCATAATGGAAGTGTTGCCCAAGGAATATCAAAGCTTATTTGTTTCAATAGAAGTAGCAGTGTTGTGTTATGTATGGAAGGAATATTGGTGCTTTTCAGATTTAACTTGCTTTGTGTTTTTGCAAGAGGATGTTCTTTGGATCAGCTTTTACTTATATTCAAACACAAGGTGATTTGACTAAGACTTTGGCTTCGTGTGGGACGGCTACAGCTTTCTAGTACAAAAAAATTAATTTTTATACTAAAAAGCTACTTCAAAAAGCAAGAAAAAAGCTGTCTCAAATGAAGCCTTTGTTTGGGATGACTTTCTTACTGCTTTGTAAAGTTATTTTTTAGTACAATTTTTTTTTAAGCAGGGAAAAAATAGTTCTCTAAAGTTGTCCCAAATGAAGCTTAAGTATTTTTCTATTTCATTTTGATTGTATCAAGGATCATCTTTTTTTCTTTAGTTATGAATGTTCTTATTAGACATTTGCAAGAGGATGTAACTTGTGCATGCTTTTTACTGATGATATTCTTCTTGTTAATAGCTTGATCTATGGAGGTCAACTTTAGGCTAAATTTTTTCATTTGAGTAAATTTAAAATTGAATACATTTAGTATAATTGTGGTAATCATAGATGTAATGGTAGCAATATTTGGTGATCAAGACAATAAAAAAGTGCATATTTTAGATATCTCGTGTATTATTTAAAGTGATAATGAAATAGAGAAGATCAATTTATATGGTTTAATAACATAAAATGTCTGCCTTCTAATGCTCCTTTTAAGGAATAATTATTAGGTCAAGTGATTTGATGTAGCTCTATGTTCATACACTAATAATATTTCGTCATGTCTTCTTATTTTTTATCGCGCGGCCCGACGACCTGACCCAGACCGAAATCCGAAATTGCTATGTTCACATATTGTTTGGTATTGCTCGGTATTGTTTGGCAAAATCGAGAAATACCGCTCTGTAAACACCACGGTATTGCTCAGTATTTGTCTTCACAAAATGGTATTTCTCTTTATTGCCGAGCAAAATCGACAAATACCTAGCAATACTGAGCAATACGCGAACATAGCAATCCCGGTCAATTCCAGGTCGGGTTGTTGGGCCGCGCGGTAAAAAGTAAGAACACGTGACACTTTTTTACTAGCGTCCGAACGTAGATCTACGTTAGGTGACCGGACCAAATAAAAGTTTCCTTTTAAGAGAGTAGATGCATTAGATCTAGCTTATGTTAAAAAAAGTAGAGGTAGATCTAAAAAGTTTTTGTTAGAAAGTATTAAAAATGATATTTTTTTGTCAAATTTAAATGAGAATTGAGCTCTTAATTGGGCATAGTTGTGAAAAAGTGTTCATGTAGGTGACTCTATGTTGGGGGATAAAGATTTATTTTTATTGTTGTTGTTGTTGATTTAATATTTTATTTGCAAAATATTAAATAATAATAATAATTTCTTTGCAAAATATGTTTTGACCAACTCATAATGAAGCGTTGAGGGTTTCAAAAAATTGGAGTTTGACCTTCGAAGCTTTTTAACAAAAATTAAAAACCTTGTAAATAAATAATTATTTAAATTGTTCAAGTCATATTCAAACCTTATTCGAACATGGGCGAACAATTATCTCATTTGAGGATTCGTAATATTACTATAGATTGTTTTATAATATGTGAGAAAAAGATGCATATTTCTCCAAATAAATAAACATAGAAATTTGACTAATAACATGTATTTATGAGACTCAAAACTTAAAATTTTACATTTATTTTACAATATGAATTTAATTAATTATCAAAATATCATAAACTCAAAATAAAATTTTAAATACTTTTATATATTTCTATCCTTATAAATTTTATTTTAAAATTATTTAAGCGCATTAACACCAATTAAGTTATATTTAATTTATATTTAAGTTATATTTAATTTGTATTACAATAAAAAATTTGAGAGGAATTCATTCAAAATATTCTTAAAAATTAAAACAAGAATTTTGATTCAAATAAAGTAAAATAATTTTAAATAATAAATAAATATAATCTAAAATATAATATTTTCTTAATTTCAATATTATTTAGTATAACTAATATCTTGCCTCTTAAATATTTTTTTTTAAATATTTTTTCTTGTTTAGGTATTTTGCTTTCGCCTTCAAAATTGTATTTTGATATTCAATATAAAATCATTACTAAGTTATGCGAATGAATCAAGCTTTTGTCCAACTATATGGGTTCAGTTACCTGGATTTTTTTCTTCATTGTGTCCTGTTAAAAGTCAAATTCTCGTTTAAATCTAATAAAATAATACAATTTCTAATATTTTCTAATCAAGTCTTTTTAGGTTTTACTCTACATATCTTAATATAAGTGAAATCTAATGCATTTTCTTTTCTAACCGAGTCATCGGAAGGCCGCCATTTTATATGATCAAACCATCTAAGGCGACTCTCTCAAATCGTATCTTCCACTTGAGCTACTCCAACCTTTTCACGTATATGTTCATTACGTATCATATCTCTAAGGGTAAAGCCACTCATCCACCTCAGCATCCTCATCTCTGCAACACTTAACAGTATTATGCTTCTCTTTTAATGGTCCACATTCGACACCATAAAGTATTACAAGTCTCACCAATATCTTATAGAAATTTCTCTTAAGTTTGAGGGGGACTTTTTCATCACACAACAAGCTCGATGGATTCCTCCACTTCAACCATCAAACTTGAATTTTGCTGATAATATCCTCATCTATTTCATCATAACTCTGAATAATAGATCCAAGATATCTAAACTGTGTACTCTTATGACTTGATCGCCCAAAGTCACATTCCCCTTACTAGGTCTATTGCTACTAAAATTATACTATATATATTAAGTTTTAGATCTACTCAAGTGAAAACCTTTAGACTCTAAGGTTGACCTCCATAATTCAAGTTTACCTTCAACTCACTCTCTAGTCTTATCCATAAGAATAATATTATCAGCAAAAAGCATACAACAAGATACATCCTCTTGCAAATGTCTAGTGAAAACTATTATGTTGACTTAAAAAATAAAAATTAAAAAAAAAAAACTATTATGATAACTTGCTAATTGATAAATTAGTTTTATTAATACGAAATAAAAATAAAATAAAGTTATTGTTTCTATTTAGAATTAATTTATTTGCTCTTGAAATGTCCCCAAAAATTATCTTAATCAGGCACGAATCTTGATTAAATACTTCCAAAATTAAATTTCGTACCATTCAAACTCAAATTTTAGTAAACTTATGGTCAAATTAAATGTCTCAATGAGACGAACGCAATGACACAAATATTCGTCCAATCCAAGCCCAAATGGATATAAATCAAGGAATCGAAGCATATTTGGAAGGTTCACAGCATTAATTGGATGACCAAATGATCTCAAAATTTGACATGCTTATAGTCGAATAGAGCAGCTTGACGAGACAAATCCAACGTGCTCAAAACCGCTTAATTCTGACATCATCAAGACACTTAAATTCTTCACAAACACTCCATGATCGAGGGAATCAGTATGTGTCATCTAATATAACACTCTGAATTTGTCTCATATCTTTTCCATATCTATGGTGCATGTCACTCTCAAAATCTATAAATATATCCCCTCTTCCCACATAAAAGGGAGCTTGGACCTTTTAGGCCTTAGACTTTTGGTGGTTTAGACCCTAGGCTAGAGACTAAAGAGAGCTTTGAGGCTTGAAGCATCCCAAAGCTCCATCATGGCACCATCACCGAGGAATCTTCGACATAAGGCCACCGCTACTAGACCTATATCCGACCATCACCATCGAACTTCTATCTGGTAGCTACCATCAGGCCTTTATCCGACCACCGTTGCCCGCCGACTACGATTCCCCCAACCTCCATCGCCTGCTGACTATTGTCCCTCTAACCCCTTTCGCTTGTCAATTACAATCCCTTGGATCTTCATCGTCCGCCACTTATGGTCCCTCTAACCACTATCGTCCGATGACTACAGTCCCTTTAACATCCATCACCAACTTACTATTTTCCCTCCAACCCTCATTTCCCACCGACTACGATCCCTCCGACCACCGTCGCACACCAACTACAATCCCTTATATCTCTATTATCTACCGACTACGTTCCCTTCGATCTATTTTGCCCATCGAATACGATCCCTCCAATCTCTATCGCTCAACTGCGGTCCTACCTACCAAACAACAAACCAACATTATATTATCATTGAATTCTTCCAACTCCTACTATGAATGTGCTCTATATGATACATTTTTCTACAATGAGCCAAGACCTTCTCTAGTTAATGGCATCATTTATAATCAACTTCAAACACTCATAGAATCATTTTAA